TTTTAGATAGTACAAATGAATGGTTTATTAATATGGACCGTGGTTTGTTTAATATAGCTGTTTTTCTGGACTTACAAAAGGCGTTCGACACCATAAATCATGACATCCTCTTAACGAAACTTGATCTTTATGGCCTACAGAAGCCATCATTAAACCTTTTAGGATCCTATTTAGCGAATAGAACCCAAATATTCTCCGTTAATGGCGCTCTGTCGGGCACGAAGTTGGTTACATGTGGAATCCCTCAAGTTCAATTCTTGGCCCACTCTTATTCTTAATCTACATTAATGATCTGCCTAACAGTTTGGAGTACTCGTCGACAAGAATGTTTGCCGACGATACGACTCTAACTGTATCTGGCAAGTCAATTCAAGATGTAGAGGTGGCCATAAATCATGACCTTACCAACGTTAAACAATGGCTTTCTGCAAATAGATTATCTCTTAATCTAGTCAAAACTGAGTATCTAATAATAGGATCTCGGTACAACATAAATAATTTACTTGCTGCTCCAAATGTATTTGTTGGTGATACACCAATTAAAAAGGTCAAAGAAACAGAAGCACTTGTAGTTCATATTGACGAGTTTCTATTGTGCGATAGGCATATTGATAAAATTGCTAAGAAGATTTCATCCGGAATTGGGGCGATCAGAAAGCTAAAATCTTGTGTGGATCATAATCACATTAATATGTGCTTATAATGCACTTGTACTTCCATACCTAGATTACTGTTGCGAAGTTTGGGACACCATTGGCGCCACACTTTCTGATCGACTCGAGAAACTACAAAATAGGGCAGCTAGAGTTATTACTGGCCGTAAAAACGAACACGGTCAATCTGAACTTGCTCTAGACGAACTGAAATGGAAACCTTTAAGTGAACGCAGAACACATTTCGTAGCAAGTCTTATGTATAAAATAACTCACGAACTGGCGCCAAAACGACTAACCAACATTTTTCAAAGGACGTCTTCCTCTTATTACTATAATATGCGAGGCTCTTCCACCAAACTCTTTTTGCCCAAACCTAAGACTGAATTATAGAGTCTAAGTCTTACTAAGTCTTAGTTATAGAGGAGCAAAATTGTGGAACAGCCTTTCAGCGGATGAAGCAAGAAACAAAAATTCTCTTGCTTCGTTTAATTCATGTATACGACACCTGGCCAATTAATTAATTAATTAATTAATTAATTAATTGAATTTAATTAATTAATTAATTAATTAATTAATTAATTACGTTAATTAAGAATATTACTTAGTACTAACATTAATTTAATATGTAAATAATAATATACTAGTTGTATTTGTAAATGTATTGTAATTGTTGTTAACTGCAATGTAATGTATGACCATAATTTGTATTAATTGTATTTTTTAACTATTTAAATCTACCCCCCCCCCTCCCCCCTTGGAAATCAGCTTTCGCTGTAGGGGTTAGCGTAGTTAAATAAAATTTTACCTACCTTTTTTTTACCTACCTACGAAACTCCAGTATCCTCCGCCATCTTTGCGTCAACTTTTTATTTGAGCAACATGACTGAGGTTTTGTTTGTTTTGTTCATCCAGATTAAATATATTTCCAAAGTTGTTTTGTCATACATTCTGAAGGTTTTAAATTAACGAAAATACATCTTTCGTCAGCTGTATCATTGCGTGCGTCCACATCAGTTCTGTGCGTGCGTCAATCTGAACTTAAAATCATTGATTAGGAAAAGGCAAACATGTATGGCAAAATATGGGAAGGAGTCCTCTTCCTTCAAATTTTGGAGAAATAAAGTTGCTCAATCCATCAAAGAATGTAAGGAATCGTATTATAAGTCTAAAGTTAGAAACCTAAAAGTCACGGACGCAAGCAAATGGTGGAGAGAGGTTAAAAATCTTTCTGGTATGGCTGACAGAAATAACCAATGGTTTGAGCACCTCATTGATGGTGAAACTGTAGATTCCGTTAATACGTTATGCGAAAGAATCAATCATTTCTTTGTAAATTTCACAAAAGATTTTACGCCTCTCTCACAGGACGATGTTTCTAACTATTCTGCTGGTGATTCTGGTATTGCGGATGATCTCTTGGCTTCAACTGACGAAGATTATAAATCCCTTTGTTCTTTAAAGACAGGGAAAGCCCCGGGACCGGATGGAATCCCGAATGTAATTCTAAAAACGTTTGCCTTTGAGTTAGCGCCAGTAATCGCTGATATTTATAACTCATCCTTACGTGATGCCTATTTGCCTCCTCTATTAAAGAGAGCATCTGTTACACCTCTTCCCAAACAGTCTCCACCGGGCTCCATTGAAAATGGTATCAGACCCATCTCACTCACTTGCGAAATTGCTAAAGTGATGGAAGGTCTCACCTTAGCGAGAATCCTGCCATCCATTATAAGTCACTTGGATAACAAACAATTTGCTATGGCTGGAAAATCTACGCAA